GTGTTGGGACATTCTTTTGAACAGTGGCTGCTGTGTTAATTAGGTGTCAACGATAGCCATGTGATGTGAGTATCTGTCACATGGAGGCAGGGCTTAAAAGCCTGAATTTTGCCTGAAACTCTCAGACTGAAGAAGTCTCTTGGAGGAGAGATGAAACGTTTCATTAGAGAAGAACCCGTCCAGAAGACCTATACAATTTTTTTTCTTTTTCACAGACCCTAAAGTTAACCTTTAATCCTGATTCCTCATGTTAACCTCATACGTCACGCAAACCCGGAAAAGCCGCAGGCGGCAAGGACGGACGTGCGGGGTACCCCCAGCCCAAGCATCAATATGTAATGAGTCAGACATGAGAATGTGTTCGAATATCCAGCAATTAAAGTCTATGTAAATAAACCAAGTATTACAAAGAAATGTTACCTTTGAAATAGTTTATTTTTGCTGCATTTAATCACGAATACAACATACAGAACCTCATGTAATAAATGTAGTGATATTAAAACAATATCAAAAATAACACATTCTGCCTCCTATTTCACACAATTATTATTTTGACTTCTCTGACTTGCCAAATTTTTAAACAATTTTATTTTCGATTTCATAGTTTTATCTTCAACTGATTGTAGTTTTAACAGTCTTGGATGTTCAAGATTCTGACGTTTTAGATACCACACGTCTAACTAAAAGAACTTATAGTACTTATAGTTCTTAGAACTCATAGTAATTAAAGTAGAAAACAGGGGGTTTGGCGCTTAAGTTATGAAAAAAAAAACAACTGGCGGACTGAACTTTGGTCACCGGCCCACGGGCCGTCAGTTGAATAGCCCTACTGTATAATCTTGTTTTGGCGCATGGAAAGGTGCAAGAAAACTTTAGGAAATTCTTGGGTGGTTAACTTTATAGACTGTGTGTTGACCAGAACGTAGAAGTTGACACAATTTCCTGGATTTATGAAAAGTGTGACTTACTTTCTTTAGGCATGACTTCTAAGRCATTTTCCTTATGGTTAATGTTAGGAGGCATTGGGCTACCACAGTATGACACAACACTTAGCCTAGTTGGTGTCCATCTTTTGAGATCTCATAAACACAGATAATAATGCTCCATCAGCTTTAGCATATTATCAAGTATGAGCCAGCCAGACAGTTGATAATATCACACCCAAGCTGAGTCTATTTCAGAAATCTAAGCGTTAGAACTGCACTTTCATTTTCAAAATACTTACAGTTTCCACACCAGAAAAGTGGCTGTGCTTAACAAACCCTCCAGTGGTTTCAGGCTTGTTTTGAGTCTGGCTGATCCAGTTTGATACAAACATTTATTAACAAAACAGTTAATCCTGTTAGGTTAATGTGTCACCAGCTCGCCTTGCAATTCCTATGAAATGGCAGTTTGCTCAGAAGTTTAAACTGCAGCAAAGAACCACGAGCGGTAAAGATCCTGACAGGATTCCAGAACAGGTGAACTGGACCAATCAGCAAACACAGACTATGGGAAAGGAAAAGCAACATGTGCATCCAGTCACCAGTACTGCCACATGGTGACTACAGATGCTATAATGCCTTGAATTTATTCTTAGCCCAATTTATTTTGTTTTAATTTTAAAACACTAACATTGACTGTGAGCTCATTTTAAACAATGTTTATCTTTTTTTTAATAGGTGCATTTGTTGAAGAGCTGATAAATATGATCCAGGAAATCAAAATTCCTCATTTATGACTGCAAACAACAATAATAAAAAAAGACAACAATAAATTGGATTTTCTAACTGGGATGTAAAATATATCAGACAAAACTCTGGGAGAGTATTGTTAAACATTTCTCAACTACTAATGGAAATTGAGAACAAGAACAAATAAATAAAGAACAAACTAAGGATGTACTAAGTACAGCGAATGTTGTGCGTGATTTAAAGATTCAAAGATAAGATAGCATGGCTTTCTTGACGCAGCTCGATGAAACTAAGAAAGTGTTCAGTCTTGAAGGTCCAAAGATACTTTTTAATTTATTTTTCAGACATGAGCTCAAACAGAAACAACAAAAAAGTRTGCATTTATTGCTTATTAAAGACTAAATGTTTGTGCCTGTTCTGGTTGGTTATACTTTAAGTCATTTCTGAATTTTTACTTCTAATTTGCACACATGATGCTTAATTTGGGGCTTTCCCTTTATGTTGACTGACTTCTTCTGTAATATGATAGTACCTTATTCATAGCAGTTAGTATAGTATAGTCAGTATAGCCAGTGCAATTCCATTCTTACATTTTTATTTGCAAATATGAAATCACAAAAAAAAAACATCCATTTCCTCTATGGTAACATATTTCTGCCCCTTCAGTGGTAATCTGACATCTTGGCAAAGGTTAGTTTACAATAGAAGTCAGACTTATTAATGATTTATAGAAAAAAGTTCCTGAAACAGACACAATATATCGGTAAAAAGCCAAATGGCACTGTGCAAAATTCTTAAACCATTTTCTAAACCAAAATGTTACAGTTTAGTATAGCAATAAAACATCCGCTTCCTGTACATAAAAAAAAAACAAAACAATACAGTAATGCAATAATAAACAGATCTAAAAAAAAATCAAACAATACTAATTTTTTGTTGTGTTTTGGCTGTGTGTWCATTTGACAACACAAATAAATATTTTTAAGGAAAGTGCATCTTATGTTGTTTCCAAAGGATGAGTCTTTTTGAGGTGAGAAGGTGTGTGACCACACTGAGCAGCATTAAAAATATCGTCATCGACATCACAATCACATAATGGCTGATGCTGCAACAGACAGAGGGGGAAAATAAAAAAATAATGTTAAAATCTGGGAATCAAAGATCCTCCAAACAACCAGCACAGCCAGTGAAGCGCAGGACAACGTGATWATAATGACTATAATATAATAATTATGTTATTAATGATAATGTAACACTCACCTGGTGCCGATGTCCAACCARCTTCCATAGTCCTGCACCATGAAGAAGAAATGCTGAGGAGGAGGAGCATGTTTAACAATTTATTGCGAACAAATATTTGTGAAAATTTTTATTTATTTTTAGAAAAGATTATTGTAATGTTTGGTCCAACATTAAACCTGAACCTGTCAAACTGACACAAAATGTCTTACCAGAGCCATGACATCAGAGATGACCAGGACGATGAGAAACAAACTGGAAAACAGGGAATAGAAAAATAATAAAATAAATAAATTACAGGCTTGATAAGGCCCCCTTTGCACAACAGCTCAGAACACAGAAGGATCTTTAAGCATATATTAAAAACACTGAGCTCCACATTATGTGTATAGGATAAAACAAGATACATCCTTATGGATTTGAACATAAGCATCAGTTTCACRGAGTGCTGGTTTATCAATGGATTTGCAGATAGAGCATAAAGCTAGCATGAACAGTTTCAGTTTCAATTTTTATTCATTTCATTAAAACAAAACAAACAATTCTATATACAATATACAACAAAAAGAAAAATATAAAAAGAAAAATGAGAGAAAATATACTGTATATATACAGTATGTGTATATCAAAATCACAAATAAATTGAAATAAAAGGCAGCAGAGAGAAGAAAAAGATCTTATAATATCTGCCCCTTCTTATAATATCTGACAGGGTTTAGTCATCGAGAATCTAGAGGCCCACAATGCACTAGCAGCACTCCAAGTAAGGWTTTGGAAGGTTTCCCATCACACAGCTGCAATGAGTAATAGTTGTTCTCTATGCGCCCATAACTATCCCTCCTTTGTCAGGATGCGAAGCAAGAAGCGCTCGTTCTCTTCGTGGACAGGGCTGCTTGACAAGGAAGGAAGAAGGGTGGATGTGGTCGAGGTTTTGCACAAAACCACACAGTCACCTGCGTCCTCTAACGCTCTGAACTGTGTTTCCTTCTTTAAAGCAAGACCGAAACCAACCAGCATGATCAGAGGCTTTTAGGGCTTAAGCCCCGGATCAGGGATCTAAAAACACAGACCTGTTCAAAGCAGGGATTATAACAACTGAAATATTATTTCAATACTTTGGTTTCTCTGTWCTTTTTCTACAAGCGGCATTCATTTCAGGCTTGGCCTGAATTGTTYACGTCTGTGACAACGGGCCAAGTCACGTGATCGACCAAAATTATAACGTGTAATATCTCATAAATCAGGGGTATTCAATTAAAACTCACTGAGGTCTAGTTGCTAAACTTTCCGCTAGTAAAAGGTCCGAACAAAAGTCAGACTTTTGTCTTTTATGGTCTTGATCTGATATGTTCATATTTTCACTACTAACAAACGGCATTTTATAGTAGACAACATTTTATTTTACCATATTTGTAGTCTCAGGCAAATAATTTTAAAACCTTTATTTCAGAAAACAGAAACCTCAGAAAAAAAGTACATTTTAGAAGTGCAAACAGAGCCTAATAACCTTTTTTTGCTTTTATATCGAAGCCTGGTCAAACCTAGAGAGATGGAGACTTTCAGTTGAAGTGCTCAGACTTCAGCAGATAACTTTGCTCAAAAGAGCTGTACTTCGCTTCACATTGGCACTTTTAATTAATGCGACCGTTTCAGAGCATATGAGACAAACAGGTTTTGAACTGTCTGTTGGAAGAATGAACATAAATTTCTCTGTCCATTTATCTTTAAAACAGCAGTTTTCTGCATCAACTTTTCTTTTCTTGGAGCAAGCCATGCTGTCACCTCTTCTCTTCTCTGGTTAGCTCTCTGCATTGGTTGCGCAGGGTAAACAAACGACTTGATTGGCTCAACACTGTTGCCGTAATAACTGTAGTAGACGTAACCTCTAAACCTCCTAACTGCGACTCTGCTTGACTTTTGCAGGGAAAAAAATGCTCCATGAATATTATATAATTTTGTGAATTTATCAGATAGGGCACGGGTCCAGACAGAACCAACACTCGGTCCGGATTCGGACCTAGGTCCGCCATTTGGTGATGCCTGTCATAAATTATAGCGGCACAAACAGCTGTTTCAATGGCACAAACCTGCTCAAACAAAGCACTACAAAATTCGACTAGTTTGGTTCTTTTTGGAGCGAGCGGGTGGGATGGTGACCCCTGAATGACCCTTACAAATAATCTTTAATATATAAAAAAAAACCACAGCAGCACAAACGACAATTTCAAGTGCACAAACCCGCACAAACGAAGCACTAACCACTCATCCTATTTGCCTTTTTTTTCCCTCTGTGGTTCATTTTTTTTGGGAGGGGTTGGCTTCACTCAGCTCAGCYGAGTGGCACCACTTCAGCATCTGGCTGCTAAAGTATCCAGCTAGTCTGGGTTAATATTTCAGAATTTCTTTTTATTTTTAAGGAAAATTCCACAGATTGTGACAAGGGTGCAATAGTGCAGATGCGATATTTGTGTTGGTAGCAATGTGCTTGAATGACGGTTTGTTTAAAACGGCAGGAACACCTTCAATGAGCTCACCGGACAGCCATGAGATGGGGATTTTTTTGGGGGGTTGCAAGACAGTTTTCAACTTGAGAGTGCAGTGGATGACAGGGGCTTATCACAATCCATCTGTCCATCAAAATCCTTGATTGTTTTTGTCCATATAAGTCTTTTGAATCGATCTTTATCTGATTTGTCACCTAGGACCTATCTACCATGGGAGATACTGTACTACCAGGGACAATTTTGGTTGCAGACAGCTTCACTCCTAGACTGATTCGGGCACATAAACTTCTTCACCATGATAATGTGACRATTCAACAGATGAGTGACGAAATTTGTACTGTATATTTACACCTCCTTCATATCAAATACAGTGGAAATTTACTAAGATCAATTACTTGACAATCATCAGACCACAGAACTGATCCAAAAGCTTAATAACCTTTACAGCTGTGTTATTTTATAGTCAGTAGTAAGAAAAAAGAAAGTAAAAAAAATCACCTTCTTGATGAGAGCTGAGTCGCAACCTGGATGGTTTCAAATGTGCACATTACTGTGATAAATGGAATGATGACCTGCAAGAACGAAAAGCTGTTTCAGAAATGTTTATAAATMAACTGTAAACCACGAGGCATGTGTTTTTGATCAGGCCTTTATAAAACAGCCTAACTATAAACGCTGAACTGAACAGATCAAACCCATCTGCAGAATGAGAAGTGAAAGAAAAGGGGGAATTGAGACGGGGAATACATACAGAGTGAGTGCATTTAGACTGGAGCTTTTCARCAAGAAGATTTATTTATTGACATAAATGCTGTGGTTGTTAAAGTGCAGTACCTTCCACATCATGAGTCCTCCCATGATAAAGGGGTTGAAAACAGTGAGGAAGCAATAAACAGAGGCCGGGTCGAAGCTAGATAAAAAAAAACAGACAAAAAAGGAATAAGTACCAACAAACAAAACCAAACCTGAATCTTTAACATTGTTGAGAGAAAAAAAAATCAGTCATTAATATGATACTGTATATAAGAAAAATCTTGGTGCACAATAAATGTTACTTGAAACTAAACCTTATATGAGAAATGACACAAGGAACCATGTTGTTTAAAACAGTGCAAAAAGGCTCTGTGTCATTTATTTACACTTCGTTTGGCAGCTTCCTGTATTTAAACGACGGGTTACTAATTTGAAACGGCACAGCACTTTTGACACTACACACAGCAGCTTATCACTGCAATCAAACGAAAACCACAGCAACTTCCACATTCACACTTACAGTAAACGCCACAGGGTCACACGCATTTATAAAGACATGCACGCTAATGCTAACACACAACAACATACCTGTTAATGGATGCTATGTTCCCTGTGCCGAAGAAAGCTGTTATTATAAAAAAGACCTGGAATAAAAATGACGGTTAGGGAAAACT